GCACACAAACACACAGACAACCCCGTGACAATACGCGTTTATAAAAATCAAAGATTCCTAGGCATTTCGCTTTCTGTGTGATACGGAGATTACTTGAAATTGGCCTGGCAGGGCTGTCGCTTGCTTCTCACCCTGATCGAAGCAAAAGCAAGAACAGGGTGTGCTTTGACGCCTTGCTGTGTTTTTTTTCCCCCAACATAGTTCTATCAGTTTAGTGCAGAAGCTGAATTCTACGATATTTTTTAGCTGAAAAAAAAAATCTGTTTTTGCTCTCTCACATTTTCATTTCCAGTAATTCATAGCAACAGGACTATAAGGTTTTGCTGATGAAGTGTGGTTGTGGTGCTGAACAGGAATGTATACGATTCAGCGGATCCAAGCATTCCTCCTCATCTGTGTTGTTATGAATTCCTTATTTAGTGAACTCTTGTTATTACTTTTATTCACACTTTGCCCTCTTTTTTTTTTGCTTCCCTTTACTGCGACTCCAGAAAAGTCCTACTTTATTATGCAGAGCTTCCCGAGTTTCCAATTCTTTGTTAGCAGTATTAGTGTTATTTACAGATTGCTTTGACACCGGTATTGGATCGCAACGTAAAAACAAATGGCACGAAACGCGCTCGTCTCTTACGCTGGGAATGGCGTGATGCTGTGCAATCGTCGAGGAATACGTGGGGTGAAGCGTCTTTCTGGGAGACCTATAAGGTTGTGCATGTTTGCAACTGTTCACAGCTATTTTTCTCTTAAAATCAATTTTTATTTTCAGTAATCTTTGAAACGATTAGCTTTTTTGCATCTCAATAAGCAGTGCCAGTAATTCAGATGATGCATTCGGTTTGGCGCATTCAAACAAGTGCTTGTGCAAGTGAGTTTTTACTTTGATCGTTTGATCAGTTGCAGTTCATGGCGTGATTCTCCAGTTATTCAGCTGCTGACAACGATTCCCGTTGCTTTGACCAGTGCTGCATCTCCCAGTGGTTTAGAGGTTTTGACTCAACGATCTTCTCAACAAATGCACGTACGAGGCTTAAATTGCTTCGAGATCTCATTGCTGTGTGTTGGGTATTATTATCGAAAGTTACTCCACCACATTTTGGTATCTTACGTTTAAAATTAATTCACTTGCATCGTTTATGGCAAGAGTGAATCACTTCTTAAAATTTATCAAGCAGTTATAGCAAAAAGAGGAAGAACTACAAAATCAAATTTGTACAATCGAATTTCTTTTTACTGGGTTTCAATTTCCGCACGTACGTGTTCGATTTTATGCATACATGAATTTACATCAGTCGTATGTGAACTAAATTCCTCTCACATATGGAGTTGAGTTAACTTTCCTTTTGAATTGAGTTTGCTTATAAGTAAGCGAAATTTGTTATATTGGTTTTAAGGTATGTCGTTAGTCTTAAGCTCTCACGCGACTTTCTCGTTTGACGTTAGACAACTTGATTTCGCGTGATATTTCTTTCGTTCTTTCTGACATGATGAACCTTCATTTGCTTGTTATGTATTTTCAGAAGAGGTAGAGTATGCATTTTAGGTCAGCTGCAAGATGAGCAATTAATGCAGCGTTTACGTTCCGAGCAATTCGATCTTGGAGTCAGCGAAGTGGTTCGCGAGTGCGGTTTTGCAATTTTTAACAAAATTGGTTTACAAAATTACGTCAGCGTCTTAGCTACAAATTTGCTGGAATATTACACAGACCCATTTGGCGTAAGCAGCAATCCGAGCCATGTTCCTTGTTAGTTTATTGTTTAAGTTTTTGAATTTTACTGGTGGATATAGTTTTGTCGTTATCTATGTTATTCAAACAACAGATTTGGCTCGAACGGAAATTAACTTTTCATGAACATTATTGAAATTTCAGCAATGTTCAGTCTTCATGCAGATACAATGAGCTATAAGGAAAGAGCGGAGAATTTGCTTGATTATCTGGTAATGTATGTGATTGGCAGGTTCGTTATAGCGCCTCTCAATGGCATTTATGAGAAGTGCGTTGGCAACCGTTTTAATACTTTGGCAAGTTCATTTGCCCTGTACAGTAATTTCTCATTTTAAGTGTACAGCTGAAAAAGTTAGAAACAGTTCATGGAAAAGCTGCGTGTAACAGCTGTTCAAAATAGTAAAGCAAAAACGATACTTTTCAAACTGGTTCGGCACAAAAGATCTGATTTCCGGCATCTCATCGGAATCACAGCATTGAAGTGATTGCTTCCAATATTTTTTTTTATAATCATGGTCCAATTTTTGCAGGAAGCAGTCGGCAGAAGTTCATTTATTTTCGTCAATGCTGATGAGTTGCTTGATTTTCCGCGTTTAACCAGTCAAAAAGTCATTTACGTTGGTGGGATTGCTGTTCCAAAGCCTATGCCATTGAAAGATGTAAGTAGAGAGAGTGGTTTCTCAAATCGTAATACTGCTTTGTTTGCTTGTTTTGCACCCGAGGCTCTCTGCTTTTTTCTCACTTGTAAATAATGCAGTTGCAGGAATATTACGAAATAATGGAGGAACATAAAGAAGGCGTAGTGCTTGTAGCTTTTGGAACAGTTGCGCAGAGTTCCAGTATGAGCTTAGAGATGAAAAATGCTTTTCTCGCA